ACTAAGCAAGTGTTTGACAAGTGGTTGAAATCGACAGATTAGCATTCATACTTGGAAATCCAGTCCCGTCGAAGAACTGTTTTTTGCTTTCATTTTGTATTTGGATCTGTAATCAAGATACATTTAATGGCATGGCGAAGTTGCTCATTCTACCGGATCAAACAGTATGCGCTTTCGAAATGACTAGTCTGATGAACAGCTAATCGCTTCAAAAAACAACAAGGGTGATGATTTGGTTCTTGATGAGAGCAATTAGCTGTATTGGTTTTCGGCTGCAGAATCGAGCTTACGGTCCATTCTCGTCTCTTGCTTGCTTCCATTCCATGCAGGGTACGTGGTGGTACAACACTGTTAAATTCAGCAGTAACAAAGTCCTGCTGGATACGGTTCGCTACTTCCACTGTGCATTCATGCGCTCCCCGCGGATGTCAATGGTTCAAGTCATTGAGGTGCTGTCGAATGCCTATGAATTCAATCCGAACTTCAACAAAGAGGTGGTCAGTCGGCCCAGCGACAATGTCGAACTGCCTCCGGTATGTTTGTGTTACACCCAGCATTATTGGATGGCAGTCACACTGGCCTTTCGTGCTCCTTTTATTGTGCCGATGCACCTGACAAGCGCGTATTTCTCTTACCCCATCCATTTTGTTCGCCATCAGTTTTTCGTGTTCACCGCTGACACCTGTATTTGGTTTATCGAAACTGCCCGTTTTTGTTTTCTGTTTAGTATAAAACCGTTAAAATAACAGTAGTCGCCATGTCGTAGCAGGTAAAGAAGTGACCGTGGAGAGTCATAATTGCCTGGCCTCGAACCTGTGTCTAAGGGCTCACTTAATCCAATAGAATTACTCCACAAACCGCAGTTCGCAAATAAGACTCTGCTTCTGTTTAACTAATGTTAAATGTGTAAAACAGCGTGATAGCACGGATAAGTGCTTACTTGTCAGGAAGACGAACCACGACATTAGACTCAGGTTTTGGAGCCATCAATTCTCCGTCCGTTGAGCAATCGGTAGGCGATATCCACTTGCCAAGTGAGTTAACTATTTAGATTCCATTGTTCATCTGTACCTCGTGATTCGAATCCGAGCACACAACGCTGTTGAGTCGTAGCAATGGCGAATCAGCTATTCCCTACATCCCTAGCTGTGATTGAGAAGAATATCTCCCAACATGTGGGATTTTTTTC